TGCCAGTTACTCTGACAGTGCATGTGATTTCATCCAGTTGCGGCATTACAAATTAATGACATGATGGGAATTTCTATGAACTTGACACAAGCTGTCAGAAGACGGCTAGCACAATCGTGTCAAATGGATTAAATATCCAAAGTGAAAGTGACCTGCCGAGACGCTTTGGCGGTCGCACTGATGTGTGGCATTGCATATGCTGTGGCGTAGTCATAGATGACTTGATGCGACAACTTATCTAGCATTAATGTATGTTTGATGTGGCCTCGATTGCAAATGATGAGAAGCGCACAACGAGCGATGATAAAGATCTCTGTCAATGTCAGCATTTATTCTTGATTAAAATCGACCTTTTATTTCGAACTTTATCTGGTTAGTTATCAACCTTGCGCTTTGTAAAATAGGGACACGTGCATTGTAATCCAGGGAACTGATAATTTTATAATGAATTATCGGAAACTTGGGTATAATTTAAATTTTTATTGTTTAGTGATAATTTTCGAATAGGTAGTTACTGACTTGTTAGGTACAGGAAAAGTGCATCGTAGGAAGTACATCAAAGTTGGCTGTGATTTATGGATTGTATATTATTTAAAAAAAGCAAGAATGACGTCAGCTATAGCTCAAGAGAGCTCAAGGACTTCCACAACACTGGAAGCAGAATATTAATACACATCTGAATTTAAACTGATTGTAATATTCCCAAATTAAATCGGCTATGACACATACTCGAAGAATAAACAAGTTGTTTTCAGAAACAAATTTTAAATATGCCATATAGCATAGTAATTATTTTACTTGTGTTATAGGAAAATGTTACATCACTTAACGATCAGTATTGATTTCGAGTCTAAATTAGTAAGGTGTATTGTAACTTCATACAATAATTTGAAACGCTCATTAAATTTTATCGACAATGCGCATTGTGTGAAAGTTCTCTTCCATGCAGTTTTGCACTTGCACAAGGTGTATCGATTATATAATCTAACTTGTCGAAACATAATCGATCATATTTTGTAATATCGTAATAATGGCGAAAAGCATCTATTAGGTCGAAACTGGTGGGCCAGATCACGTCTTCAAACAATGTTGAATCCAGAACTGATCCCTGGGGTACACCCGCGTTGGCATTGTTCAATCCAGCCATATTTCGTCGAAAGCCGTGGTAAGATAAAGATTCACCTGACGTACGACCAAACCAGCTTGATTCACAGTTGTGCTTGTTTCTGTGTCTATTAATGATCAAGAATTGATGTTCTCGAAATATTTTAGATATCAAGTGATACATATTTCCATCTCTTTGTTGGACATATCGATATCGTCTTTGTTTTTGAACTGTTTATCCTTAAGGTAATCTTGTAATGACAATTACGGGAGAGGGGTGATAGGTCTGGAGGATATGGGGGATGTGGCGGAATTTTCGGACGGGCCTTGCGATTTTTTTCACGTCTTCAAAATAGTATGAGTTCTGCATTATTATGCAGCAAGATGTTGTTATTTATATAATTCCTGATAAAGCATCTCCGGATTTAGCTTTTCAGTCAATTTCACCAGCATTTCAAAAATAGTAAATATAGTACAGAACTGCCGAAAAATACCCATGCCAAGTACACTCTTGACTGAATCCTGCTACCTACAATGTATAATCACTACATCCAGTATAGTTCATTCGCAAACCCAGCATTCAGTATCAGAAAAAGCGAGCCAGTGATCCGTCAAAATAATGAGGATGCGCCTACTTGATATTGGAACGGGCAGAATATTTTTGAAATGAACTGAACGTGATCAAACTTTCAGTTCCCTGTGTAATTGGCTTCATTGCGACTGATACCTGAAGGTCCCTTCCTTCATAATGTGAAAATGCTTGGTGTTGACGGCATCTGGACGTTGCGAGAACTTGCACGGGCCGAACTGTCTTAAAAAAGCTGGTTGTAGATGCAAGCTTACCTCAATACCAGTGGGCTGGATAGTGATGATGACCTCGTCAGTCTCAGCGTGATGTTTACAGACCTCCCCGGCGACCTCGCGTCCGTTGTATGTGACGAAGCACTTCTGTCCTGGCACCAATTCAACACCAAGCACCGATTGGAACCCAGGTCCGATCAAGTCGTTCTCGTAAAACTCGGCCGTAGTACGACCGACGTTCCCTTGCCGGGAGTCGAAGCGCACCGTATAGCGCGTGTTTGGCGTCAGATTGATGCAATTATTGTTCTCCTGAAAGTTCGCAGGTGTTTTCACCGCCTGGATCACTCCCGAGTAAAACTTCCCTTCGCCACCCGGAGCACAAACGCGAGTCCCGATGATGGACCGTTTAGCCAATCTTTTCCCCGTTGACATGTTCACACTCACCAGTCTATGCGCTCACAGTATCTCATGAAACAAGCACTGTTTTGCCTTAGCTTTCGCGTGGTAGATCAACGGCGACTTGGTGAATTTAAATTCGGTATCGTAGATAATACACATAATTTCAGTAAGCGGTGTCGTTCCTTGACTGAAGTCGAACAACTGACTGGGCCGGCCGGTGCCGGTATATCGGCACACGCTGTCGCTAACAGCTGATTCGCCGAGCGACGTTGCCAAATTCCAGCATGTTCTATCTCTGTCTTCAAGGCAGAAGGTAGGGAAACGCAAGTGGGAATCTAAACAAAGGAAATATCTCTACGGATTCCGCCGCAAATCATGAGATAGCCTTTGTTACCAGTTATCAGCACAATACACCTTTTGAAAATGAAAAGGTAATTTGATGGTATCTTTCTTATGCCAATGTCAGTCGTCAAAAACTATGAAGCTTTTTCGTACTTGCCAGAATAGTTAGCAACCTTGTGTCCAAATCTCATCAAAACCGGGCGGTACTTCAATGCTTTCCGAGTTAAAAAAGGGTCAATGATTAGCGGACAATCATACCGACGGAAATGAGTGACATGATCTTTTTGTTATGCCATATTACGTCCACAAGACAAAAAATCTAGATTTCGAAGTTACCTCACCTGCTGACAGGAGGAGGTAGATAAATACTAAATTATTTTTCGGTCGATACAAATGTTTACATTACGCCTTATTATAAGACCCTTCTAAGCCATTTTCTCTGTCTGACGACTTATTGAAACAGCACACCTCCACATCCAGGTGTTCAGATCTTTCTATTTAGATGCAAAAACCCTCAAAAGTATCCTCCCATCCCGATTTCTCCCTCCCTCGAGCCGAACAAAGGAAATCCACCATTTTCTGCATGTTACCAGATAAACCTGAGACGCGGCAACGCCGCCTGTGTAGGGCAATGCGACCGGTAATTCCATCCTTCTCCGCGCACAATGAGCTAGAAGGAGACGTCACCGGCCTGCATCTAGCAGCCCGGCCACAGCTGATGATAACAACAAAACCACGTGACGGCGATTCGTGCACGCGATAGGCGCAGAGCTTTGACCTACATACAGCTATTGGCTAACTAATGGGAGAGAAAGGTCACGCTTAGAGTTGCGGCGGCGTTGCCGGATTGTGAAGGAAGTCGGAGATGCGAGGATTTAGTTACGAGTGGCGATTAAAAAGTAGAAAACGATTGTAACCAAACAGGTAGAAGATGTATAAGGGCGTGTATATTGCAGAATAAGAAAAACGTTCCATATTCTATAGTTAGAGCGCTCTTTGAGGAATAGAGAAAACAAAACTAATTTTTTAGAACGGATCGTTCTAACGGCTTTAGAAGCTAGTATATTTTGATGACACAAGAATCAAATTAATCAAAACTATCATAGCTGGTCTATTAATATGCAGGTTAAGGTAAGGTAATTAAGGTTATTATAGCATGAATCAGGGGACCCGCAGGAATTTTTCTCAGTGGTAACCGTTCATCTTCATCTTTTTGTCAAAGTGTACCTGCCCCCAAAGTTTTTTAAAGAGTTTGATATCTATTTGTAGGCCAGTAGTGGATGCAAAATATACCAGGTTCCATCAAAGTTAAGATGGGTATCCTATTTCCAAAATGTATATCGTATAGTTTATAGTCAAAATATCCAATCAGTGAAACAAACTTTTCATCGTTGTTGATGTAAATCCGATTTAAAAACATAGACTCTGGAGGTCAAAGTAATGATCCCCCAGCGCCCCCGATGATGAATGTTACCCAGTCAGAAGGAGAGAACAGAAATTACCAAGAAATCAAAGGAATTGATGACACCAGCTGTAGCAGATGAAAAGGACGGAACCATCCAGCGCCAGACCCTGATCATCGAAAGCCAGGCCCAGCAAATAAAGGAGCTGACTGAGACCATGGAATCAAAGGAATTGATGACACCAGCTGTAGCAGACGAAAAGGACGGAACCATCCAGCGCCAGACCCTGATCATCGAAAGCCAGGCCCAGCAAATAAAGGAGCTGACTGAGACAGTTAGGCACCAAAACAGTAAAATAGACTGCCTGACCACCCAGGTGACACAGTTAATCAATAATGCAAATTTTAATTCTAAATCTGACAAGGCTGTCAATTTAAAAGGACCTCTTGAAAATTTAACGGACGTGACATCGACCGACGATGAAGTACAGCATGACGGATTCATTCAGGCCATGTCTAGGAAAAGACGCATCGACAAAACGAACAAAACCGACAAGACGGATGACTTCCCACCTCTTCCAAAAGCAAAATCAAAATTCAAGTTGAGAGTCCCCTCAAAACCTTCTGCTTCATTAAACGTATCAACTTCTTCTGCCACTTGTCCTATGACGGTCGATGCAGCGACCACATCTTCTCAATCTTTGGCCACTGCTGGTGAGTTGATCAGCACAGCATCCCGCCAGGGGCGAATCACGCCCATTGTTTTGCGTGATGCGACCAAGTGGCGACATCTAAACTACACCTTCATAAGCTTAGGCATTAAGATAGAACGCGCAGTTGCCGTTGATGCGGCAATCTGGATTTTGCCGAAAAACTGAGGATGACTACCGAAGAATCGTTCGCCTGTTCAGGGAAGAGGACGTGCCCCATCATACGTTCCCTCTTCCTTCAGAACGAAATATTCACGCGGTAGTCAGGTGCATACCCGCAATGTTTTCGGAACAGGAGATCAAAGGGGAATTAGAACAGAGGAGATATACTCCTCTCCACATTATCCGACTCGAACGCAGTGGCGGCACACCCATGCCTTTGGTAGTCGTGATACTGCCCAAGATTGAAAAGTCCCAGCAGCTGTTCAATGAACATGAGCTGCTGGGTCTAGCAATCAGAGTTGAAGTCCAAAAGAACTCCAGACTTATTGGGCAGTGTCACCGCTGCCAAAGGTATGGTCATGCGCGGTCTTACTGCACAGCACCTCCCAAATGTTTAAAATGTGCTTCCGACCACATGACACATTTATGCCTCCTCACAGGAGAAGAGGAGCGAAAGTGTGCGAACTGTGGAGGGGCGCATCCCGCCAACAGTCCCACTTGCAGATTCATCCCCAGGCGAAATCTGGAAGTCATAGCACAAATACGTTGCAAGTCATACGCGGAAGCAGCCATTTCAACATCTTCGGCTGCCCCTCTGTTCAACCCACTTTGAACATGCAGAATGTGGACCTAGCAACTGCACTTAGGTCCCTTCAACAAATAATAAGTCCCTTGATTAGCGCCACTCAGGCATTGCAGGCGATTTTTCCGCAGCCATTGAATGGCTAAGTACAATAGACAACCTGCATTTATCATCTGTCAGGTATCTTGGAGTCATCATTGACAAGGGGTTGACCTGGCAGAAACATACTGATATTTTGAAAACAAAATTCCAAAAATTACCTTTCGGCAGCTTTATCCTCTGTTGTGCAGAAATTCAAAATTAAGTTTGATCAACAAGATTCGGTTGTATAAAATGGTCAAAGACAAGCAATCACCTACGCATGCGCGGCTTGGTGTTTTCTTGCCAAGACGCACATGCAAGTCCTGCAAAACAGAACCCTATGCACAATTACTAGCGCCCCTTGGTACGTGTCAAATGAGACTATTCACAGCGATCTTGATATACTATATTTAAGGGATTAAGTAAAACAACAGGCGCAGCGGCGTTATAATCACAGCAACAGTCGAGCAAGTTCGCAAACATTCCAGGCCGCGCCTCGCACTGTGATCAAAATTAAATTGTAAATTCAGACCAGCCAAAATTATTTCAGTATACAAAACCGATCAAAATTATTTTTTGGAGTTACAAAATAATTCGAGTAGTCAAAGCAATAATGCTTAAGCTATATCAAACGATTTACTTCTTTTCTTTGCTCTATTTCTTCCTTCCTTTCCTTCTTTCCCTTTTCCCCTTAAACATGTTTGGTATATGGGTAGCCAGACCTGACAGACTAACAGACCGACGAGACTTTTAACTGAGAGCACAGGTCCACCGGACCGCTCTGACGATTAATGACGAATAGTTAGATTAGCACGGAAATTCACACCATATCCGTATCGTCACCAGAAAAATGATTGGCTAGACGTGACAACGCCGCCGCTATAGGCGGGAGCACGGCGCGTGGATCTGAATTTTGTAACAGATGCACTGCTCTGATGAAATGATTGATTTTTTTGTCATTACATACAAAAACAAGCTGTTGATGGATAATTAAATCTGCTCCTCAGCGCCATGTTTCGCTAACTCATGATATCCCTATAAGCGATTGCTTTGTATGAAGTTACACAATGAAATAACACCCTAGACATGGTGAGATCATCGATAAGCACAAACAATAGGTAGTTAATAATAATAATAAGTAGTAATTAGTAAACCGCACAGGCAAAGTGTTTATGAAAACTCGTTTTATAGGCGAATCGGTATGCCTAGATCCAAATCCCAATGGATTTGCAGATGGGATCTCATATCATCTTAGCCGGCTTCCTTTCCAAAATTATATTCGAATTTAGAGTCCCAAATTGACCAATTGCAACAAGTTTTGTTGGCAATTGAATCGCTTAGCCTTGATGAGATTGAGGTACGTGATAAACGGAACCAAATACATACGTTCGAAATGACTTTTGATTTGGTTTTAGCGACCCAAAAAACGTACTGTAGTAGTCATTTGAACCGTATTGAAAACGTCTTAATTTTGAGTAGTCATGTACATATTGTACATATTCGCTGAGTGCGCTATGACAGCGCCGCCTAGATATAGGTAGATATCTTGGTAACGCATACAATATGTGTTAAGGGGGCTAATTTAGCGATAACTATTTTGTGATTTTATATTATAATTCAAGAGACAAAAATTTAGTATTTTTGACTGTTGAAATTTTTTACGTCGCTACAAAGAAATACTCAATTAATGTACCACTTGGAGGTATACAGTAAGCAGAGTATATTGAAACTCGCAGGCAAAATGGATGCCGGCGAACGGGGCGGCTCAGGTCAGCTTGCCATCATGCCATTGGTCGCTCGGAGTCACACGCACATGCGTCGTAGCCGAAAATATTTAATGAATATTTTCTAAATAATGGAGAGAATATTTGCTGAATATTATAAAAGAAATATTGTATTTAAAATATTTCAGAGATATTTAATAAATATTTAATAAAAATATTATATTGCTAATATTTATTAAATACTTGCTTAAGACAACAAATATTTAAGTAAGATAATAATATTATTGAATATAGGGTAAATATTTAATGAATATTTCGTGCTATCGGTTGAAATGAAACTAAATAAAAATACTTAAAAAGGTTGTGACGCATATTAAACTAAGTAACTTACATACTTGAACAAAAAATGAAAGTAATTATACTTACGGTTATTTGAATACATAAACCATGAGTTTAGCTTTCAGCCTCAAACTATGGCAACAGGCTTCTAGCCACAAAATCACCTAAGAGTACCTATCTACTTGATTAAATTGCTTGTTTTCAGTTTTGGGTAAATGATGTAATAAATATTTAACATAACTTAGTGTAAAAATATAGCGTGTTGAAGTGCTTCTTGCAAACAAATATCTCGGAACTATTAGCTTTAGACTTCTAACAAGTGGATCTTTTTTGTTGTGGAAATACGGAAAAATAAGATTTTCCGGTCAGTTTTTATATACAGGGTAGCACAAAAAGGTTATTATAAGTTATTTACCGAATTAGTGCTGTAAGTGGCGCCCTCTGGATGTTTGGCCATAAAAAATAACGAGTTCTTGTTTCTCATACAAGAAAATTTCACTATACCGAGTTTTATGCCAAAATCATAAATACTACTCAAGCAATAAGGAAAAATATAAAATAAAATTGTAACTTTCACACCCTGTATCTTGCAAACTATCAACTTTTGGCTTTAGGTATGTTTAGGTCAATTCACAAATTCACATATTTATCACGTTTCGAGATTTTTCGACCTTTCGCAGACACCCTGTATACATATATTTGCCCAATATGACGTATCATCGTAGCATCGTCCATGTTGTCTTTGGTTTATTAGAGTATTTTGGAGTTATCTGCAGGTGTTATAACAGAAATTTGACAAATCTCTAAGACGAAATACGGACAGAGTCGAACGATTTAAGGTCTATTCACACTCAGCCATGACGTGACAGTGCCGTGACGTGTCAGCGATTCTCGCTAACGTGAGCTCACAGTGTTTTCAATTCACACCGGTCAGTATTTTTCTCCGTGCTCTGACTGCGCAGTTGTGTCCACGACAAGTCGAAATGGCAACATTTTCAGAGGATGAACTTGCAATTATTGCTTTAATTCTGGATTTTTTTTTCATACTCCAACTACCACGAAGGCCTAAACAAACATGGTGTGCTGTAGGGGCAAACACAGGGGAAAGAGGGAAGCCACACGTGTGCGGAGGTACCACCCGGCGGATCTCGTAGGCGTGACCAGATTGTGTGCGTGTTCCCTCGCCAGAGTCCGTGTGGCGTTCGCCCTTTCCCCTGTATCCCCCTATAGCCCCGCGGAACCCATGGGTGTTTAGGCCTTCGTGGTGGTTGGAGTATAAAAGAAGTTCGGCGTCATCGAGGGCACAGGGAATACGGCCACTTCCGCGTGCCGGTCTGGTGTTAATCAGTTCATCCAAATTACAGGAAGAAGGTTTTTACACACACTGTCACGTCACGGCTGAGTATCAATAGGCCTCTACTCAGAGTTTGTACCAGATTTATATCTTCTGTTTGAAAAGTTGATAAAACCTTTTGAACGAATATTCATGCTTTGCTTGTCTTAAAACGTGGGTTATGGCATTTAACCTAAAAAGGTGACAGCAGAAAGTTAGGTTATGGTTAAGTTGTATTCCAACATATTTAGCAACAAGTTTATGCCGAGCACAGCAATTTTGACTATAAAAGTTACTAAACGACAGTTGTATACGTAGTAGCAATTTGTTGGCTAAGGTGGTAAATTTGCAAACCAAAACAACGACGCTCGGGTTTGTTGCATAAACATTACCATGGATGCCACAACACAACTATTTTGAGAGAGCTTTTATGACAGTTCTTTTACCAAAAACCTTTAGCACCATTTTGCTAGCTGTCGGAACGAGATCATCAATTTGTTGAAGCAACATTTTCGTGCAACAAATCTTGGATGCAAGGTAAGAGAACACCAGATCTGGCATCTAGGCGGAGGAGGCATCGGCACGGGTATCATGTAAAAAACCTATAAAACGTAAAAAAAGCCTATAAGATGTCAACTTGCAGACTAGGTAGTTTTTAGGCCGCAAACAGTTATTCCACGTTCGCTCACCAGGATCGTTGTGAACGTCCATCTATGGAGGAATCACTCAACTAAACTACGCATTATTGGTTGCATAGTTTTGTGAGGCTGAGTGATCCGTGTCTGTAGTTTTTATCTCTGAGAAGAAAGCTGGTTGAATAGCAAGATCGCATCTGGATGATTATTATATTATGTATTGGTCTGCATGTGTATAAAATCAGTGATATTTGCTGTGTGAGAAAAGCATTACTGAATATGCCGAATATGATGGATTATTTATATGTTGTGCTTTCTGAAGAGAGGTTATGTTCAAAGTTATAAATTACGAAAAACTGAGGAGAATGACGAGAAATCATTATATGGCTTGTAATTCGACAGTGTACAGTGATTATAATTATTTCTTATTTCTCCCATTTTTTAAATTCAGCAAATTTGTATACGTAATTACCAGAATGGATAAAAAAAGTGTATTTGAGACTAGAACCCAATGTAATTATCATCAACACATACAACTTACAGCTTAGACCTCCAGTAATGCTATCTCAGAAGCAGATTTTACATCACATCAGAGCCAAAGATTGATAACAAGCCTCATTACGTTTAGGCAACACGTACAACTAAGTGCTAAGTTA